CCCCTCCCTAAGGCCCCGCTCCCTAAGGCCACTCATTCCCTAAGGCAACGGTTCGACCCCTTTGGCGGGTCGGACAACCCTTTCACAGGGGTCACCTAAGACCATCCTGCATATCAGATATTTATGTTATGATTCGTAACAGTAACAACATTACAGTTATGAAGTAGCAATGAAAATAATTTTATGGTTGGGTCACAACATGAGGAGCTGTATTAAAGGGTCGCGACGTTAGGAAGGTTGAGAACCACTGCAAGGTCACCTGCTCCCTAAGGCCTCACTCCCTAAGGCCGCAGAGCACAGCCCGGCATCCCGTGGGACTGGCTCTCATTTAAAACAGAGAAAGGCCATGAGGGAAAGAAAATAGAAACACTAAATGTTCATTCATTTTCTTAGTTTTTCCTGCTACCTCCTTACTTTATTTTTATTTCTTTTTTAATTGTCAAAGTAAATATGCTCGCTGTAAAACATTTTAAATATGAAAGGGTAAAGTTCACCCTCCACACCGCTTGGGCCACCTCAGCCCGTCTCTGGTTGTCACTGAATAATCTGGTGCAGGCATTTTCCCTGCAAATAGTTCACAAGAGAAACCCGGTGGCAGTAAAAGGTAATTTAAAGTGTAACGTGGAGGCATCTGTTCGCGTCATTCACGGCAGCATTAGACTGAACAGGAAAAAGTAAGCAGCACGGAGATTTCTGTGGGAGAAAGTGAGGGATCCCGTGTGCTGGCGACTCGGCAGCTGACAGTCATCACACTGTCCGCAGAGGCAGGACGTGCCTGCTGTGAGCTGTCCCTCAGCCACAGAGACAGAAACGAGACGTGGGAGACGGACACACACGGCCTCAGACCGCCGTCCGCGCGACCTGAGCGTGTCACATCTTCAGTCCGTTCTGTTGGGTCCCTGGTGATTCTAGGCGTGTACGTATGTCACTAGTTCGTTGGTGAATCCTTCCCCCTGAGCGTGAGGGGGACGGGCCGCTTTCTGTGGCAGCTGAGGGAGAATGTGGCCGAGCGCCGGAGTCTCGGGTGGGCTCTCTCTGGCCCCGTGGCTCCCGGGCCCTCTCCCTCAGGGTGGTGCCTGGCTCCTCTCACCCACACGTCCTCCT